TTCTTTTCATTCTTGAGGAAATCATATCTTGCCCTATTCTGAAATAGGATTTTTGTCTATTGTGTTATTCAGGACGAGGTAGAGGACCCACCACACATCCAGCAATGTCCCGAGAAGCAGCAACCATGGTGTTTGCATACACTGTCAGCAAATAGGACATTCTTCAAATGATTGCCCTTCACAGGTTTCAGGCTCTCGAAATTCTCGATCCCGTGCTAACTAACAAGATGGTATGCAAGAAAGATTGATATTTCCTTTTATCAATTTAAAATTTATAAGTGTTGTTGCCTGGTTGAAGTAATAATTGTTAAATTCATACTTGCTGAAGGTTTTAATATGATACAACACTCTAGAGCACATGTCGCATTATTGTTGTTCGGTTTCATATTTTGGATGTGGCAACTGTTGACCTAAGCTGAGCAACCTTATTTGATCAGATGGAAATCTGACCTGATACGGTCCAAGCTGATCCGAAAGTAAAGGACCAGTAACATCAAGTTATCTGAACTTGAAATCATCTGTTATAGAACAACTTGAACCCGGAACCACCTAGACTCGAGCTGCTTTTGAACCCTAAAGAAGCCGAAACTTGAAATAGGCACCTATAACATCCCATCATAAACTTAAGCACACTTTAATTCTATAAATCTCATTTAGTTGAGGAAAATATAAAATTTTCATTTCAAATATTTTATAAAATATGAATCTGTAGGTATGTAGATGTATTTGATAAGTTTATTCTTACCAATCCAATATAAGACCCTGCGAACAGACCTGACATCTGTACAACTTGATATCTGATAATTAAAAGAAAAGGATAAATAGCAGATAATTAGGAGCATAAAAAAACAAATAACTGCTATAAATCACATTGATGAAGTCTCCCCAGTTTATTGCTGTTTTGTTTATGCATGATTTGTTTCACAGAATATTGTGGCCTACCCTAGGACTGACTAAATGTACGTGTCTATGCCGCAGAAGATTTGACGATAAAATGAGGGCAGTGGTTGCAAGAAATATGAAAGCGGAAGAATCAACTGAAGTTGCATATCAATGCTAAAAATTGCAACTAGAAGAATGTTTTTTATCGAAAGAGAAAGAACCTAGACTAAATTCTAATGAACAACGTCGAACCATGTTACATTTCATTTTAATTCATAAATTTTGATTGATTTTTCTACATAATTTATATCGTAATTAAATTTCATCCTTATTTATTAGATAACGCTATAGGTTCTTTTGCGGCGTTTTGTGAAGAAAACGACATTAATGGCCTAAACATTTATGGAGTTTGTAAAGAAAACGTCGCTAAATATTAGAACATATAGCGCCGTTTGATAACATAAAGCTACTAAAGATAAGATAATGAGTTTGATCTTTTGCGGCATTTGTAGGAAAAACGCCGCTATAGGAATGATCTTTTGCGTCGTTTTTAAGAAAAACGCCGCTATAGAGCTTGACCTGAAATGTTTTCTATTCACAAACGCTGCTACTGTTGCTGCGCTTTATCGACAGATGAAAATTATTAGCGGCGTTTAAAAACATCGCTATAAACCTGTTAATTTCTAGTCATTGTAAACCGTATCTGCATACAAAAATCATAATTATTTTTAAAAAAATAAATCATGTCGTAATGTCCTCTACATCTTCAATCACGACATTGTACCCACGGCCACGACCGCAATTTAATATTATGACCATCATTTGCACTACTTACACCCTTTTCGTTCTCGTTCTGAGTTCGAATTAGAATGGTGACTTGAATTTGTAGAATACGGACGCAAGCTGAAGGGATCGAGGTGAACGTTTATGATGCTAAAGGCACCCTGAGATGTATGGGTACGTAGCCCATGAAGGTAACGATTCAAGCGATGATTACTGCCAAACTGATGATGATGCATCCACCACAACCAAAGAGGTGACTTCTTATCCCGACCATATAATAATTTTTTATTTGAGAGCATTGTGGTTGGAATTTGAGGTCGACCTATGGCTGCATTCGAACTTTGAGGAGGTTTAAGCTCTTCGAAAAAAGGATCATGGAAATGAGACATAATTATGAGCCGGACGCAAGATTTTATGTTAAGGATGAATTTTTAAAATTTTACGAATAGACGAATTTATAAAATTTAAAGAGATGAAAACAATTTTTCAATACAAAATATATAATATTTTTTAAAATATATGATAATTTTAAAATTTTAGAAGGGACAACTGTGCACTCTCGGTCCATCCATAGAATTAACTATCTGTAGCCTATAAAGTTCTTCGAGAGTCGACCGCCTTTTTCAGGCTTTAAGCTCACCCCACCCCCGGTCCGTTGGCATTATCATCTATCTAAAGAATCCTCCAAAATCAAACATGAAAATATAATTTCGTAAAAAATATTATCTAATAATTATTTTCTAAAATTAAACACTCTTTTAAAATATAATATTTTAGATTTTCAGATTTATAATTAAAATAAATAAATTATATAAAATATATTGTATACACATTATATATTAAATAAAAATTCTTATTTTATGTAATACTCAAATATTTGTGTAGTCATAAAAATATTATTATTTAAGTAATATTTTGTGTCAGAGCCGTATTGAACATTTTTGGGGCCATGAGCAAAACTCAAAAATAGATCCTTATAGAATAGAAATATATTTTATTACTTTGAATAATTAATTTAATTATTAAAAATAATTAAATTTTATCGGACATTAATTTCATTATTTTGTTAAGAAAACACCTTAACTACAATTAAAAGAATTAAAAAAAATTGAATGTGGGTATGAATTATGATATGGAGCTTGATTTTGAATAAAAAATAAAAAAAATGACATATTATTTTATTATTAGATTGAGACGAGAGAAGTATAAGAATTAAAGAATATTTGATAAATTAGATAATGAGATTTGTAAAAAAAAAAAGAGACAAATGTGATTAGACTTAATTCAAAATTAAATGAATTGACGAAATAGATGGAGAAAGGGATAAAAATTGAGAATTTTATAAATTTTAAAAAATTAAGAACTTCAATTATAAAGGTAAAAAGTGAGATTGAAGGAACTTAGGAGCCTCAATTATAAATATAAAAAGTGAGATTTAAAAAATTAACGACCTCAATTATAAAGGTAGAAAGTGAAATTGAAAAAACTCAAGGGCCTTAATTATAAATTTAAAAAGTATGTTTAAAAAAATAGGAGCCTCAATTATAACGGTAAAAAAAATGAAATTGGAAAAATCAGAGACTTAAATTGTAAAGATAAAAACTGAGATTAAAAAAATAGAACCACAATTATAAATGTGAAAAATAAGATTTAAAAATAAGGGACTCTAATTACAAATATAAAAAAATAAAGACCCTAATTGCAAAGATAAAAAGTAGGGACCACGAGGAGTCTCTTAGGGCGTTTCTTCTAGGGGTGTTCGCTATTCAGTTTTAATCGAATTAATCAATCAAATGAATTAGTTCGGTTAATTCGGTCGGGAAACGGTTAATATTTTTTTAATATTCGATTAACGATTAATTCGGTTCGAAATCGATTAATTAACCAAATTTATTAAATATTATATATATTATAAACCTATTTTAAGCTCAAACCTATTAAAAATTAATACCCGAATATTTTTTAATCACACTAGATTCATTAAATTATCAATATATAATTAATTTGTAACTCAAATAAAAAATATACATGTATTATATTTAAATTAATCTAATTATAAAAAAATTTGATTAATTTAGTTAACCGACTGAAATAACCGAACTTTGTTCGATTAGGTTAATATTTTCAAAAAAAAATTATATTCGATTAACGGTTAAATAACCGAATTAACCGTTTGAACCATGCTAATTCCCGTTAAAAACCGCTAATTCCCGTTAAAAACCGGCTTGTTTTGTGTAATTACATAAATTATGTATATATATATATATATTCTTAACATTTATCTTGAATGACAAAATAGGTTATTAGGGCGTAGAATAATATCCCAAAATCGAAAATAAGAGATAAAAAGACAAAAGCAAATCAATTTTTATGTGTATGTCACCTGCCCCTCACTAGGAATGGAAATTATAAAAGACTTTTTGTGTTTTGTCATTTTGCTTTGCGTTACTAATATCACTCCTACTCATGATGAGCAAATTGTTTACCTCGTGCCACGTCCTAAGTAGCGCTGTCATCACTCATCATCACACTCTTACAAATTATAAGTTACAAAAATACTTTTTAATTACAGTTACTATTAGGGTAAACTACATCAATGTTCACTGAAGTTTAGGTACGTTTCTTTTTTCACCACTAAAGTTTTAAAATTTACAAAATAATCTTTTTTATTTGTAACAAGACGATTACTGAGCCGTTGAGCATCGTTACCCCTATCACGAAAACTGATTTAGCACGTTTGAGGTGCCGAGAGTCATCATCACACCTATTTCGAATATTCATTTAACTCCCACTAAAAATACATAATTTTTGCTTTACTAACCCTAAACCCTCAATTTACTAAACCCTAAATTCAAAGAGGAATCAAAGAATAGAGAAGAAGATGCCAAGCAACTTTTCAAACCGAGGCTTCTGATTCTTATGCTTCTTCCCTGCACACGCACCCGAATGCTCACCACCCTATGTTTACAATTCTTCAATCTTTTAACAACGAAGTGCCTAAAATATTATAAAACACGTCTGCCTGTCTTTCCTTCGGCCTAAACCGCCATATTGTCCTCAAGGCCAACGAAGCTAAAAAAATGACACCTCAGCACCTCTTATGTGCTAAGTCAGCTTTCCGTGAGAGAAATAACGATGCTTAACGGCTTAGTGACTGTTTTGTTACGAGTTAAAAACATTTATGACTGTTTTGTAACTTTTAGAACTTCATCGGTGAGAATAAAATATGACCCAAACTTTAGTGACCGTGAATGTAGTTTGACCTTATATTATTCTTTATCTTTAAGTCACCACTAGACTGACTCGAGAGATTCGACGGAACCTAAAAATGTACAATGCATCTGTACATGGCTGATTGTGTGTGGCTCCAAAACTTCCATCTTTCTTTCGAAGTTGGCCAAGTGAAAAGCACAATCTGCTCCTCCATTTTCTATTTCTATGGTATATGTTAGCACCCTTCTTCGCTCACTCTTGACGCCAGCCACACCATGAAGATGAAACCACCAACTCCTCTACATTTCACCTCCAAAACCCTCAGAACCACCGCACTGTCGACGCAATTCGGCCTCAATTCCCACCGTTTGGGACCGAATTTCAAAAGGGTTTCTGTACTTCACCCTCCTTATGCCGCCGCTAAATTCCCACTCACCGGAACATCTCTTCGTCCAACTGGAATCCCCTCCGTTGCCTTTGCTGCAGCCAATTCCCATTTGGACACCCAGACCTCATCCAGTGACTTGGAAGCTACGGAAGAGCGAATAGAGAAGGTCTGATGTTATATATATGATTCTTTAGATAATATATGGTTTCTCGGACTTCACTCCATTTTTGGATGTAATTTTACAGGCCATTTATCGATGTCGGTTTATGACCCTTCTGGCTGTTTTTGGGTCTTTAACAGGATCAATCCTTTGTTTCATCAAGGTACTAGTGTTTCTCTTCTCATGTTTAATTGGTTATCTTCTACTCTATATCGGCTTCAAGATTTGGTTTCATGGATGTAATATTGTTTACTTACACATGAGGCTTTGAGATTCTAAACATTATGTAAAAATACAAAGAGCTGAAAGCTGATAATATGTCCTGGAGAAAACATAATTTATCATGTTTTATTCAATGTACCACTTGTTAGACGAGGTGGCTTATAACATTGCATTTATGTGTTATCTTAAGTGCACTTATGATATGCAGGGCTGCACTTATATTGTGTCATCTTTCATGGAATATTTTGTCGATCGGAGCAAAGTGATCTTGTTGCTTGTTGAGGCCATAGGTGAGGGTTTGTTCGTTACTGAAAGGTCAATATTTTTGCTCTTATGGATATGGTTATGGATGATAGTGAGTACCAATCAGAGAAGCTACAGAGCTTTCGTTTGTTTCTAGGCTGTCGAAATTAGACACTTACTGCTAGAAATTATATACGTAGATTCAATTGGAACTACAGCATACAAGTAATGCTTAAATATGCAGACAGAAAGCAAGTTCCCTAGTCAAGGTTCATTTAGGTTTTACATAAGAGCAGCTGCATCAGCATCAATTTCCATTAAATATATTACATAAGAGCATGAAGAAACCCTTGACAATTGTAATCATTCGTGTGTGTGTGTGTGTGTGGGGTTAGATCCTATTGAGATGAAGCCACTAATCGCCACTGTATTATTCTTCCAGATGTCTATCTACTGGGAACAGTAATGCTGGTTTTTGGAATGGGTCTCTATGAGCTCTTTGTTTCCAATCTTGATATTGCAAAATCACAATCGAAGGAAAAAGGTACATCGACATCAAATCTCTTTGGCATGTTTGCTTTAAAGGTCAGTCGAATTTTCCCGCTATGTTTTCTTTTTGGTCTTTTCTAGTTGCTGCCTTGAGGATCTTTTGTACTACTAGATTGCGGAATTAACAAATGCATGTATTAGCTTGTCAAATAAAATTTGATTTCTGATGTGGCCGACGTGGTGCCCAGGAACGACCAAGGTGGTTGGAAATCAAATCAGTGAGTGAACTAAAAACCAAACTCGGTCATGTAATAGTGATGCTTCTTCTGATAGGGTTTTTTGACAAGTGCAAGAAGACTGTCATACACACACCACTGGATTTGCTTTGTTTCTCGGCTTCAGTACTACTATCCTCCGGTTGCCTGTTTTTGCTATCTAAGCTCAATGGCTCTACATGAGACTTCAAGTTTTCTCTTCTGTATATACATGTATGTTAGATACAAGGGGTTGTTCCGGCTAGTTTGTTATGTATGTATTGGGGGATGTATTATTCGGAAACTATAAATATAATACATGCTTAAAAGGTTATCAGTCCGTTACCTTATATGATTGTTTAAGTCTTCTACTTGGGCTAGTATAACAAAAATCAACAAACTATTATGAACCAGGACACTTCCATGAAACAAAAAAGATTGGTTAGTGTTATAGATGCAAATTACATGGGAACTCCATCATTATCGTCATCATCACATATATGCATCAACAAGCTATTATGACTCTTTTATGTGAAAAAGTATAGTAAAAAGGCCAGCTTCATAGCCAAAAAAAAAAAAATGAACCTGTCATCACTGTATCGGTTTAGTAGTTCCTTCCAAGCATTTCTGCAAAACATCCCAAACAACCACATTCAATCACCTCGAGATAAAGTCTTATTAAACCAAAAGATTAATTAACAGAGATTATAGTTGATGATGACTGTAGAAACCACTGGATTTAATAGAGTACCGAAAACTCATATAGAAATGTTCCCATCGCCTCTCCCACCATGGACATGTCCACTGCTCTAGTTGTAAGTACTGCGCCCGGCACCATAGCCACTAAAAGGCCCATGATTGACATGGGGATGAGAATTACAGGAAATTGTGTCATAGAGCTCATCCTTCATGTAAGCTGGCTGCAGAAAAAAAAAACACCCAATAGAATTCATACAAACTTCTGTGGAGTATAACTGTAGTATATAGGGCTTAAAGGAAAACCTTGGGATCAAATTTTGACAGTATTCCAAGAGCCTGTATGTCTACGAGGCTGTGACCTGACACATAATCCTTTTCCTTCCCAAGATAGCCCCACGGTTCATCCTTTTTAAACTTCTCATACATGCCTTCAAAATCAAATTCTTCAGTAAACTGTGTGGAGTATAGAGACTGCAAAAATTCAATAATATATAACAGTTATTAGTAGAATTTCAACCTATCCAATACTATCTACACAAGTGAATATTAGACACAGCCTTGAACTACATATTGATCCAATTATATAAAGGAAGAAACTTTTAAACTTCAACTAATAGCAACAATTCACAATATCTATGCATGGATATTCACAAGCATCAGCATTCAGGTTCAACAAAGTAAAAAGGAAGTAGAAAAAAAATGAGCTGACCTGCTGCGCAGAATTCACAGACGGAGAGTGAAAGAATCCAGATGCAAAAGCAGTCGTATCCTTATGACCAGGATAAGTATTCTGTGTTGAAGAAATCACATTGGATCCGGTCTGTGCTAGCTGACCTGGAGTTAACGACGATGGAGATGATGCTTGCAAGGAACATGAAGAGCAAGCGTGAAAAGGCATGGAGTTGGGAAGAACAGATGAAGGGTAGGCATCACCAGCAGGGCTATTAACAACTTTGCCGACAGGTTGAAGTTCAGTAATGTTGGTATCTTCAAAAGATGAAGGAAATGAAGTCATTGTTAGTGATAGATGTGCAGCCTGTGAGGCTTGTGCTCTTATGGGTGAGCAGGATGGCATGCTAGGGGACATGGAACATTGTGCTGGAGTAAAAGAGCCTGCAACAGTAGAATGCGATGAACTGGACGTAATAGATGAAAGCATAGAGTTAACAGGTTCTGGTGAATTTATCAATCCTATAATGGGAGAAGAGTGAAGATCAGGACTGTTTCCAGGACCCTGCGTAGTCATAGGAGATGGCAATATCGGAGGAGATTGGAACGAAATATTCTGCTGTGTTTGAGAAACATTGATTAGTGCTCTACTGCATCCATGGCAATACAACGGAGTGGAAAATAATGGAGAACCAGTGTTTTCAGCAGCCTGGGAATGATTTGACGGATCCACCTGGTAGGCCAATAGATGCGATGGTAAAGCACTCTGATGAGCTCTTATAGCTAATGCAGGGGTATCCTTCCGCTGAGGTGATTCTATTGAAGCTCTACCACCAATTGAAGTTGATGGAGAGGACCCAAGTGGCACACCTGAAAACTGTGACTGCGAAGGGAAGTAACACGAAACAAGAAAATCAATTACACCGAGATTTAACCTAAGATAAAATTTAAATGTCAATACCTGAATAATGGCAGGGTCATTGTGAAGCTGCTCATCCATTTGCATAGGAGGGAAGGACTTAACCCGCAAATCCTGGAATTGAATGTCTCAATAGAAATCAGCTTACACCATAAAACTAATATGTCATATAGCATTCCAAAATTTTTCACATGGATGGTCGAGTGCATACGTATGTTCATATACCCATATGATTAGATAACACACAATCAGATTCAAGGAGAAAAACATTGAAGAGCTCCTACTGGCCAGCCATAAGATATAGCATTACCTTGAGTACAGGAGTCAACCCAAACCCCATTTTTAAATTGTATACCTTAGATGCTTTTACTATAAACAACAGCCTTTTCTATCAAGTATTTTAAATATCATAACTTATCCTTCGCCTTTAAGATCAAACCCGAAACAATGTTTAAGGCTGTGTTTTAAAAGGCGCGAGGCACTCCAAGGCGATTACCTATCCGAGAGCCTCAATTTTTGAGGCGCTTTGAGGCGAGGGATTCACGTACGCGAGGCGCTTAATTTTACAAAACATTTGTAAATATTTTATAATCATACTTCAAACACAAAACAACTTAATAATTAACTTAATAAGCAAAAACACCAAGTAGCATATGTCATATTGTATCTCAAAAAGACAAATAAAAAACATCATCAATAATCAAAATGCCTAAAATGTCATATTGTATCACATCGTTGGTGTGATGTTCCGCTATTGGCTGATACTTTTATGAGACATATTGCAGAGGTGGTTTTGATGGCTACTGGTTAGCTATGCTTTGGTGATGTTTGGAGTGGTGGGTGCTTTGGTTGAAGAATCCTCTGTCGAAAAGTCAAAAGGAGCATTAGATAGGGCTACACGTTCGATCGAGTCGAGTTAAGAAATTTTTTTAAGTTATTCGAGTTGATGAGTCCTATTTTATAACTCGAACTTGACTTAAATTTTTATCGAGTCGAATCGAGTTTTTGAGTTTCTATTTAAATTTAATTGTAAATATTCATAATAATATGATATTATATGATCCAATTTAAATGGTTTTTTATACTCATTTACAATACATATATATTTCTTCATATTTTTTTATATATGATATACATATATTATACAGAGTCGAGGGACTCGACTCATACTTGAAAATCAATCCACTAATTACTAAAAAAATTGAACTACCATTCGAGGTTTTCAAGTTGTATTTTATAACTCTATTTGAACTTGAAATTTTTTCAAGCCGTGTTTTTGAAATTACAACTCGAAGTCAATTCAAGTAGATTCAAAAAATAATTTTTTGACTCGAGTCAAGTTTTTGGTCACCCCTAATATTAGATATGATTTTGAAAGAAAAAAAAATAGTTGAGTGACTAAAAAAGGAATTGCAGGAATATATGAGTGACTAAATATGAGTTTACCCTAAAAGTTATTGTATAACTATGACATTTAGCAAAATCTTTGAAATTCAATAAAATATTTTAATAAAATATTAAAAGAAAGCCCGCAGCATGGACTAACCCAAATCAAGTCCTAAAACAAAATGAATATGGCGAATAACGCGTCCAGGTTCATCTCTTCTGCCCCATACCATCTCATTTATTTAAAATGTCATTCGTCTCTCTCCACTTCTTCCATTGAAAGAATAAAGAAAAAACTAAAAACTCCTTTAAACATTACTGAAATCTTCCATTTCTGTTTCCTCAGAAGAAATGAAAGAGAAAAAACATATGGAAGAGCCTCTTACCATGTCCTTCACAAGCTTCCTCCTGGGAACAACCCTTACGTTCGAGCCAAACATGTTTGGGAAATCTAAAGCCCAATCTAAAATGGGTCATTGTACGTGAATCACTAAACGCATCGCCTTGTCGCCTATCGCTGCCTCATGTACTCGCTGTCGCCTTGGTGGTCGGAGGCTTTCTTCTAAACGTCTCACGCGCCTCAAAGCACCTCAGGCACGCTTTTTAAAACATAGGTTTAAGGGGCATCGAATTCCTCGGCCTAACAAACCTTGGTAATACTTTTAAACTTCAATATTAGTTTTCTGTTCTTTCACTCATTAAGACTGTATTGGAATAACAAAAGCATTGGCAAAAAGTTAAAAAGAACATGCATTGATCATTATAGACAGTCAAATCCCAGCAAGTAACCTTCATAAAAAAGTTAAGAAACAAGAATTGTTTTCATAGGAGTCATAAAAGAAAATCCATCTTTACAAATGATACAATCCACATGGATGAACAATCATTGGGTTAAGATGCTCTATCAAAAACATATGGCATGAGATTGGTGGCGGATTCAAACAATAGAAACTAAGGGCAGATCTATGAAATGCTCTCACTTACTTTAATGTCACTTCCGCGAAAGAGAATGAACTCATAAACTTCATTGCATGGTGGCACTTGTGCACCATCCTTCTTCGACCCTCTGTTCCATAAGATTTTACTGCAACATCAAAAGGAAGACAATATACATCAGAAAACTCAAAAAACAGATGAAGTAACAACAAATTCACTATAAGATTTAACAAATAAGCACCTTGAAACAAATGCCCGATAAAAATTTCATGAACGAAATTCCCAAATTATAAATACAAACTACATTACAGAACAAAAATTAACCTCGCCTAACCTAACTCGAAAAGTCATCATCCAAAGGGCAGAGCATCATCCATTGGCCAAACAGAGAATAGAAAATTATAAAGAAGACACATAAGAGGCAAAAGAGACATGCATTACGTGCGTAGTGAGAGAGTGAGAAAATAGAGGGTACTGTTTCGGAGGCCAATGGTGGAATCTTTGACGTTGAGATAATAAAGAACTCTTTCGTAGCGTACCTTGTACTTAAGATGAGACTAATGAAACTTCCTATGAATGAGTCCATGCCAGGTTTGCACCTGAAATTTGTGAGAAAGGATTGCAGAAGAAGAAGAAAAATAGGTTTACAAAAAACGGATTCTAATTTTTCATTCATAATTTCATTTTTTTCCATTACATCTTATATATTGCTCAAATTGACCAATTATTTA